TATATATATATATATATATACACACACACACACACACATATACACTAAAGGTTCAAAAGTTTGGGGTCAGTAAGATTTTTTTTTTGCAATTTTGTGAAATATTATTACTATATAAAATAACTGCTTTCTATTTGAATATATTGTAAAATGTAGCTTATTCCTGTGATGCAAAGCTGAATTTTCAGCATCATTACTCCAGTCTTCAGTGTCACATGATCCTTCAGAAATCATTCTAATATGCGGATTTTCTGCTCAAGAAACATTTCTGATTATTATTAACGTTGAAAACAGTTGTGCTGCTTAATAATTTTTGGTGGAAACTATGATACTTTTTTTCAGGATTCTTTGATTAATAAAAAGTTCAGAAGAACAGCATTTATTTGAAATAGAAGTCTTTACTGTCACTTTTGATCAATTGAATTGAATGAAAATCTACAAACAATGGCCAAACAAATATATTGCTAATATATATGTTAATATATTAAAGTGCAAAATATATTTAATATACAAATATATAAATAATGATATGCTTAGTTACATTTCAGATTGGATTAGATTCTTCATATAAAGGTTTAAACAAAATATATTTGTTACAAAATTATATTTAGCATATATACAGTATATATTGTAATACAGGTTATAAAAATATAATAATTTATATGAAAACCAACCCCCCGCCCCCAATTGTAAACTATTTTTAAAAAACAGGCAAATTATTTGTTTCATAAAAGCCTACATTGCAAAGAATCTTGTTGATAAATATTAACAAATATTGTTGATAAATATTAACCCAATTTATGAACCCATATTAACCAAACTGGTTAATATGGGCAACGAAAGAAATACGTGCCACTAAAGTGAGCTGAGTGAAATAGGCCAATGCAACCAATGCCAGTAGCCTCATAACTACCTAAATGCTATTAATAATCACCTCTATTTTTGAAGTCAGTGTCATAACGTTGTGGGAGCTTTGAAACACCATTGCAAAGGCTGCCGCAGTGCTGGTGGAGAGGTGGGGCAGCGCTACAGCTAATGATCCCCAAACAACAGCAGTGGCAACAGTAGCACAGTCCTATGGATTCAGCTTCCCCTTTGTCCCCCTTTTTGTAACTGGAGCGCATAGAGGCTTGCATAAACAGGTCAGTAGAAAAGTAGGTCAGCGCTGAAGGGAGGGAGGAATGAGAGAGAGGAGAGAGAGATGGTGATAGACATAGAAGTAAAAGTATTGGGAGAAAAACAGAAAAGAGAGAGCGAGAGGCCTGTCCTGTAGAGGAAAGTTCAGGGAAAACAGGCTTCTCGGGTTACCTGGCTTATTTCGAACTGCCAAGAGCATTGGGTCAACAGATCAGGCCACTGCTGCATGTGTTTGTGCCATTGCACAAAGGAAATATTTTGCATTTGGATTTTGGCCCATTGCGAGCTTTCCTTCACATGGACAGGTCTGCAGAAACACCATCTGCCCTCTGCAATCACAGTCAATAAAAGGCAACATTAAAATAAAGCAGTAACACTTAGTTAACCACTTTAGTTCAAATGAAGTAAGAGTGAACGTGTTCATATTAATTTCATCATTTACTAATGCATTATTAAAATCAAAAGTTGTGCTTGTTAGCATTAGTTAATGCACTGTGAATTAACATGAACTAACAATCAATGACTGTATTTTCATTAACAAACACCATTGCAAAGGCTGCCACAGTGCTGGTGGAGAGGTGGGGCAGCGCTACAGCTAATGATCCCCAAACAACAGCAGTGGCAACAGTAGCACAGTCCTATGGATTCAGCTTCCCCTTTGTCCCCCTTTTTGTAACTGGAGCGCATAGAGGCTTGCATAAACAGGTCAGTTGAAAAGTAGGTCAGCGCTGAAGGGAGGGAGGAATGAGAGAGAGGAGAGAGAGATGGTGATAGACATAGAAGTAAAAGTATTGGGAGAAAAACAGAAAAGAGAGAGCGAGAGGCCTGTCCTGTAGAGGAAAGCTCAGGGAAAACAGGCTTCTCGGGTTACCTGGCTTATTTCGAACTGCCAAGAGCGTTGGGTCAACAGATCAGGCCACTGCTGCATCTGTTTGTGCCATTGCACAAAGGAAATATTTTGCATTTGGATTTTGGCCCATTGCGAGCTTTCCTTCACATGGACAGGTCGCAGTGCTGGTGGAGAGGTGGGGCAGCGCTACAGCTAATGATCCCCAAACAACAGCAGTGGCAACAGTAGCACAGTCCTATGGATTCAGCTTCCCCTTTGTCCCCCTTTTTGTAACTGGAGCGCATAGAGGCTTGCATAAACAGGTCAGTAGAAAAGTAGGTCAGCGCTGAAGGGAGGGAGGAATGAGAGAGAGGAGAGAGAGATGGTGATAGACATAGAAGTAAAAGTATTGGGAGAAAAACAGAAAAGAGAGAGCGAGAGGCCTGTCCTGTAGAGGAAAGCTCAGGGAAAACAGGCTTCTCGGGTTACCTGGCTTATTTCGAACTGCCAAGAGCATTGGGTCAACAGATCAGGCCACTGCTGCATGTGTTTGTGCCATTGCACAAAGGAAATATTTTGCATTTGGATTTTGGCCCATTGCGAGCTTTCCTTCACATGGACAGGTCTGCAGAAACACCATCTGCCCTCTGCAATCACAGTCAATAAAAGGCAACATTAAAATAAAGCAGTAACACTTAGTTAACCACTTTAGTTCAAATGAAGTAAGAGTGAACGTGTTCATATTAATTTCATCATTTACTAATGCATTATTAAAATCAAAAGTTGTGCTTGTTAGCATTAGTTAATGCACTGTGAATTAACATGAACTAACAATCAATGACTGTATTTTCATTAACTTACATTAACAAAGATTAAATACTGTAATAAATGTACTATTCATGGTTCATTCATGTTAGTTAATAAATTGACTAACATTAACTAATGGAACCTTATTGTAAAGTGTTACAAGTAAAACTATTTTTAAATTATTAATGCTAGTAGCATACTTATTCGCACAGAAAGCTTGGTCTGCTAAGTCTGCCATTTAAAAAAATCATAAAATAAACACCTTTATGTGCTGTAGATCTAGACTAAACTAATCAGCTGCATTTTTATGCAACTCTACACTGTACTTTTTTTTTGGAAGTTGTAACAAATTATTGTATAGCTTGATTTACTAGCAAATACTATTTCATTCTTTCTTCTTCAAAATTTCACTTTAATTCAACATGTTCACTGAACAAAATTACTTTGAAACAATTTACACTCAGAAATTGGTGAATTTCACAAATAATTACAAATAAAATGGCAAGAAATGGAACCACTGAATACAAATCTTGAAGTAGGAAGACTGAAATAGTATTGTCTTGTAAATATACTTCAGTAATCTTTATTCATGAATTCAGCCAATTTGTTTTTCAGTGTACACCAAATTGAACAATGCACATAAATGATCATTTGAAATAATAAGTTAGAATCATTTATTTATATAATCACCTAATAATAATGCAGATTTAAACAGTGTCACTCAAACAGTAGAGCCTTGCTAAAGTCACTGGTTCGATTCCCACGGATAGCAAGAACAGATAAGATGTATCCAATGTAAGTTACTCTGGATAAAAGCATCTGCCAAATGCATACATGTAAATGTATATTTATTAAAACGTCAGGCTTAAAAGTTTGCATATGGTTTGCATGTGGTTAACAGTTATTTATGTGTTTGTACAATGCATGTTAACATAATTCCACTTTCTCCATCAATTTACATATAAATGCTGTTAGTATTTTGACATATATACCACGGTACTGATTAATTGGAAACGATTACCTTATTGATGTTAGTACCCATATCCGTATTTATATTGATGCACATCCATGGTATTTACCTGGCATATCAATGCACTTGTTTATTTTACTAAGTTTATTGCATTTTACATGACAATATTTTTTTGCTTTATAATTTCACATTTAATGTGTTACTTGCCATTTCTTTATAATTATTTGTGACATTTACAAGCAACTTCTGAGTGATTGTTTTTCAGTGCATGTAAATGTCCAAAATTAAAATAGTAGCACTCTAGTACTTTTGGTTTTGGGCCAGTATGTTTCTGAAACCCTTCAAAGTAACTAGGACAAAAAATGTTGTATGCAACTAGAACAAAAAGCAGAAAATAAAAGTGTTTCAGCTGCTGCAGTGTTTTCTCCACCCACACAGACAAACACACTCATGTCATCATGAACACACACGGCTCACCTGTTTGACTATTGACCTGACGTTTTTACTCCACCAACCATGATCAAAATCATATTTTACAATCAGTATCACTAACAATTTGCAACCATTAATCATTTATATGCGAATGTGCATCACAGAGACCAAGGGGTCAAGATTTGTTCGGTTTTCATGGCTCAGTTTTATCTGTTGACATTTAGAAGCATCTATGTATTTTGAAGAAATAATATTTTATTTAAATTTGATTTCTATTACAAAACAAAAATATGATAATATATTGGGAAATATAATGCAATATGAATACATTTCCATTTATTGTAAAGTAGTCATTATATTCTTCAATATTCTACATGTTAGGGTTAGGGTTAGGTATATTCTATATGTACCATGCGGCTATGGTATATAAAAAATACTGTATATAGGCATGTGTATATACACACAAATACAAATATATGAATATCACAATATATATTTTCCTCATAACTGTGTACATATATTACACATATATACCATCTATATATTATGCATTGCATTACTGAATATAAAATTAAATTGCATGCATATTATATAAGTAGATATATTGTCACATTTTTCAGTATTATGCAATGTATTGTAATATAAACACAATGTATTATTCAGTATATATTCAATATACATTAAATAATTGAATATATTGATCGTTGATATATAAAAGGTAATATATTTTCTTTGTCCGGTACTTTTTGCAGAGCTCTTAAAGGATTAAATGTATTTTCTCCGATATAAAACATTTGCATGTTATTTTGTTTTATAACAGGGAAAAATATGTATGTTGCAGATGGATTTATGTCATATTAATTATAGCTTTAGTGAGGTAAAACAAACAAACAAAAAAACAGGTTAAGCTGGTTAAACTGATCCTGTTCTAGATTTGTCATATTAAATACAGACATTTCACTGTCAGTTTCCAAACACAATGCACTTCGAAATCTGCCTTTGTCTGGAAACTGGGCTATAAATAACAGTTTCTTCCATTATGGAAGTATTGGTACATTAATAAAAAGAGAATATAAAAAAGATGGCAATATGGCTGGAGAATGAGATTGAGAGAGAGGAGTTTAATATGAGAAAGGAAAGGGTTTTCTGTGTTTGGACATAATTCAAAACAAAAACATGTACTATATCTCTTCCTGCTTGATTTCCTTCCTGAAGCCAAAAACATTCCCCACCTTCTGTTTTTCACGTTCCTGTGTGTCCCTGCTAACCCATAATCATCTGTGATGTGTGAGCCATGTACGCCACTGTGACATTTATGTACATATTTATTTACGAGTTTGTTTTTGAGTGTAAGGTCATCAGTGCAAGGTTTAACACTTGAGTCCAAAGTGTTAATAAAAACATTTTTAAAAATAAATGTTTTTATTTGTTTTTAATTAGTTAAAAACTTGTCATTTAAAGTTGTAGCTAAATTATTTTGAGTGATTGTTTGATTTTTTTTTTTATTATTATTGTTAACTTATTTTAAATGTTACAGTTAATAATTTGACATTTTTCCCTGATCACCAACTTAGACATTTAGATTTATATGAGATTGTGTCACTGTTACAACTACTATGGGTTTCCTCTTTCATGACAATCTTTAATTGCATAATGTAAATGTAAAGCATATTCGGTGTGCATTTAAAAGTTAAGTATACCTCAGCTAATGAATAAAACCCTTGCTGTTTTTCCCATTAAGCACTTTTATGGTTCTAGCTCAGTTTACTTCCTAAGTAAGTCAATATGCATAAAATGTGAGCAGCTCAGACAGATTGCACAACACAGAGAGTTTTCAGTAATGGTGTGTGTGATTGTCTGTGTTTACCCATGCATGCTGTCTCATAAGAGAACAGAGATCAGCTTATCAATGATCTAACTGGCTCTGTGCCCACGCGAGTCTGCGTTCACCAAATATCACTCCAGCTGTTGTTTTAGTTTTCATTTTCCTATTTGTATCCTGAAATGAGGTCAGATGGCGCATGTGAGGCAGGGGAAGCATGGATGCCGGACGGACAGCTTAATGACTTGTTTATCCGTTTCTTTATAACTTGACACTCTGTTGTACGAGTCTGACTCACATTCTAGTATTACAATTTTGAATGGCACATGCAGACTGACCCATAAACGGCAGCTTTCTGTGTGAATGAGTAAACACGTTACACAGAACAACAGCTGGTAAAGGAACTAACCTGTCATGATAACTTTCTGAAATATCAACAGGTGCTGCACAGCACAGAACGAGTGCTAAAGCAGGACAGAGACAGACAGCTTTCCTTCTTATACATACATACACATACATCTTCAATTTTAAAATATTCCCAATGCTAAGCTAGCACAAAAATGTTTTCAATTATTTATAATTTAAAATAGTTTAAAATTATTTAGAATTATATATATATATATACATATACATACATACATACATACATACATACATTCAGGACATTTATTTTATGAAATTAAATATTTAATTTTAATATTAAAATGTCCTTGAATATTTGTTTAGCCCATGTCATGGTAATTTTTGCATACTACTGTGTTTGTGCTGTTTATGGTTATATATTAGGAAAATACATGCTTGATTTTAAAGTCAATAGACAACAGACAATGTACAATTTGTACAATAGACAATTTTGGTCTTGGGAGCTTGATTTGAATTTGGGTCCTGAAGCAAAACTGTTTGCATTTAAATATACTTGAAATACCTAAAAAATATATATTTTTAATATACCTGAAAAAAATAATAAATAAATATACCTGAAATCTTTATAAAGAATTATTAGGATAATGTGTGTGTGTGTGTGTGTGTGTGTACTGGTTTATATATCCTGGTGGGGACTTAAACCTGACTATACACAGACTCATGGACCTAAATTGTGGTCCCCACGGGTACAAAAGCTTATAAATCATACAGAATTAAGTTTTTTGAAAATCTAAAAATGCAGAAAGTTTCCTGTGAGGGGTAGGTTTACATATACTTCTAAAGTATATGTTAATAAATTCTTTAGAAGTATTTTTCATTGTACTCAATGTTACATATTATTATAACATAAAGTATAATGTACTCAAATGTTAACAATTTATTTATGTTTATATTTTAAAATAAATGTAACAATACATTGTTATTTAATTGTATTTAAGTTATGTTTAAAAAAAATCAAAGCAATTTTTTAATGCAAAATATCTGAGCTTTGTATTTTTCATTAGTTTATTTATTGATTTATTTATTTTTGAGCCCATGCACCTGAAGTGCTCTGGACCTTTTGATCATTAAACAGGTAGCTGGCACTGACATTGTTTGCTTTTTCCAAAAGAAAAAAACACTGCAAAGGTGTAGCATCTTTAAAGTGGACTCGCTAATATAGTTCAGGAAATAGGAATCATAAACGGTGTAGT